TGTGTGTGTGTGTGTGTGTGTGTGTGTGTGTGTGTGTGTGTGTGTGAGAGAGAGAGAGAGAGAGAGAGCTTGTGAGAAAAAGGCACCGTCTTCCATCCTGAAAGCTAAAACATGGGATTTTATAGTTTCCTGTTAGATTTTAAATTAAAAATAATATTGTGCTCTCAAATTCATCCTGATTTTATTTTTAACTATTCTAATAAGGGTAGAGTGAACAGACAGAAAGTGTGGACAATTGGGATAGGGAGAGTATAGATGCATTTATAAGACAAAGCCCTTAGTATTGGGACATCTGATTGCAGTACACTAAATAAGGGATGGGATCATATTTTGAGGGAGGTTACAGTGGATTCTTCCATTCTTTTTATTCTGAAAATCATCCACGTTTGGCCAGATGACCAAACATTTAAGTTCCAAAGAGAGTTTTTCCCCCATGAAATTATGAGGGTGTTAAAATGGGATTGTCATTGTGAAACATTTGTACCTTAACTACAACATTCATTACTAGTTGTGTGTTTTATATAACAAGTGCTCTGCATCTTGTTTTTAAGAATATTAATTAGTAGTAATATAAATAATTCTGGCCTTAGTACCTGAAAGTAGAATGTCATTGCATATTGAGATATCACTCTAGTTCATTGTGAGGGGGTCACTCACCACCGTAGCGGGGGTCCGTCATCTGTCCCCGGAATCAGTCCATTCCGCCCGCACAGGCCTCCGCTCACGGGGCGTTTCCCCTCTCGAATCTTCTAGTCGCGTTGCTCTCTTCGCCACACTGCCCTCCGGCAGTGCCCAAGTCACTCGCTCTGAGCCCCCCTTCCGGGGGAGATTGGTGTCTCTCTAGCCGGCCTGTCCGCAGGCCTAGCAGGCTGGCCAGTTGGCCGTCCGAGCGTCCTGGCCCAGCCTGTCTCTCTAGCCCTGCCCTAGCTCCAGAGAGCGTCCTGCTCCCTCAGCAGCCAGGCTCACACTGCCTGGGCTGAAGCAGCCCCGCCCTTTTATAGCCCCCAGCTGGGCCTTAATTGGCCAATGCCGCCCAGCTGGGCTGAACTCCCCGGGCCTGCTCCAGGCTGGGGTTTGGCTCTTAAGGGGCCAGTACAGGGCAGCTGCCCTGTTACAGTCTGTATGTAGCTTAGAGTCTAAATTAGAAATAGAAACAAAGTCAAATAGATAATCACTTACTAACACAGAGAGTGTTCCTTACAGCACATTATTGAGTGCTTTGCTAGTTAACTATCTCAAGTAATATGACTCCCATCAATTCCCCTGGGAGAGTATTGTGCAATCTAATAACCAAACTTGGAATCATAAATGGAGGGCTAAAAGGGACCTGTAGAAGTCATCAAGCGCAGTCTCCTGCACTAGAGAAGGACCAAATAAACCTAGACTATGCCTGAGGGATGTTTATCCAATCTGTTCTTCTTAAAATCATCTACTGATGGAGACTCCACAACCTCCCTTGGAAGTCTATTCCAGAACTGAATCTAACCTAAATATCCTTTGCTGCACATAAAGACCAATACTTCTTGTCCTGCTTTAAGTGGACATGAAGAACAACTGACCACCACCCTTTTTACAACATCATCTTACATATTTGAAGATTTACGAAGGTCCCCTCTTAGTCTTTTTTTCCTCAAGACTAAACATGGTAAGTTTATTTTAACCTTTCTTCATAAGTCAGGTTTCCTAAATCTTTTATTAATTTTGTAGCCCTCCTTTTTACTCCCTTAGGGTATCTAGCAGGAGGACAGGAGACATTGACATGGGTTTAATTGGACAACTTTAGATGTGTAGGAGTACCTGGCAGATAAAAAAAAGTATCCAGAATAAACATGGGATTACCTGGGGAGGCTTTTACCAGCTCCCCTTCTTTTTCCATTCAACTCCCTCCAGCAAATCCATTTGCCAGGACCTAATCATCCACCACCACAACCACCACCCTCGCTTTTAAGAGAGTTTATGTGAGCTATAAGGTGGCTGGCTCCCTGCCATACCAATCATAGGAGTCCCCAACTATCCCTATGTGTTCCTTTAATGAACACGTCTTTTTAAGTTATTTTCCATGCCATTTATTTGATCACTGTGGCTATGTCTACACTACAGAGTTTTTTTTCTGAAAAACAGTGGTTTTTCCGGAAAAACTTCACTTACGTCCACACTGCAATCGCGTTCTTTTGACAAAAAAAAAAATCGAAAGATCAGAGGGGTCTTTCCAACATTGGTAAACCTCTTTCTATGAAGAAGAAGCCTTTTTACAAAAGAGCTCTTTCAGAAAAAGGCATGTGTGGACAGGAAAGAAGGAGTTCTTTCGAAAGAAGAGGAAAGAGGAAAAACCACAGGTGCCACTCTGTCCATAGTAATCACAGCTTAAATGCAAGATGTGCTTTTGCTGTGTGGATGCTCTCTTTCGGAAGAAGTTTTTTCGGAAGATCTCTTCCAGAAAAGCTTCTTCCAAAAGAAGCCTGCAGTCTAGACATAGTCTGTATGTCTTTCCTATGGAATACCAGCACTGGACATCCATGCAACCCTTAAATAATGAGTTGTGACACATAGCCTACCGTCATTCATGCCATGCATGAACAGAGCCCTTTCTAAACCTGTTCTGGGGAAGGAAAAAAAACCCACATCCCATTGCACCCAGGCCAATATTGGTGGTCAGGGAAAAACTCCTTCCTAGCTTATCTAAAAACAGGCAGCTAGTGTAGTGCCCTCATCAGGTCTGAACCAAGCCTGTTATTTTACCACCTAAAGGAGAGGGAAGGTGGGTCTTGCCTCAGCCTGCTGCATGTAAAAGATGAGTACAGGCACAGGACTGCCTGTTTTTAACCCTGTATTCCTACAGAATGAGTCAGTGACCATGCAGCAGTTTTTGTCTCTCCCACCCGGAGCCATAAAATACTGTTCCCGTCTTTTAGCTGAATGCTTGCTAAAGTGGAACAGTTATCTCCCATGTCTTACATAAACCCGTTCTGTTAACTAACCCTTGAATGATATTGGATACATTAGAACCCCCCAGATCCTTTTCAGCAGTATGAAAGCAGGGGCTCCTCCAGCACCAGCAAACAGGAGCTGCTGGACTCAGCATACTTGCGTGGATGTTGCACCTCTACATTTTAAATGTAGTAAGAGCCTAGCAGCTCTTACTACATTTAAAATACAGAGGCAAGGTGCGGGTGGCTGCCGCAGGTGTCCCCACTACCACTCTGCATAGCAGTCCTATCGACTAATCATACAGTCAATACAAATTGAATCGAGTATATGATTAGCGCGGTAACTGCAATTTAACATCCCTGGGCCACTTCCCCGACCATTCCTTGGTACCTCCTTCCCAAACCCTTGGAACAGGCCCTGTTGCTTGCTGCCTTGGATCTGTCTCCTGTGATGCTCTGCTCTGCTCAGTTCGGCCTCTCCTCTCCTCCGGTCTGTCCCTTTTCTCCTTCCCCCTGACTTGCCTGAGGGAAGGTTTCTGTTGGGTGCCTGGAATGAGGTGTAACAGGTAATTCGAACTAAGGACTTAGTTTGAATTACCATTTAACTGCCGCGTGTAGCCGCGGGCAGTTAGTCCGGACTAGTGGCATTTAAAAATGGAGGACCAGATGGGAACATGAAAATGAAGCCCGGGATATTTAAATTCCGGGCTCCATTTGCAAGTTCAAATGCCTACATTAGCCTCCCTAGTTCGAACAAGGGGGCTAGTGTAGACATACCCTTGGTCAGTAAGGATCTCCTTTGGGAGCCCCACCCGGGTAAAAATCGCCACCAACTCTTTTGTGATGATCCGGGTATCTAGTGGCATAGTCGAGGACTAGTATGTACTGGTGACCCCAAGTCATCTTCTCCAGTGGCCCCACCAAGTCCATGGTGATCTGTTCAAACGGGGCATCGATGATAGGTAATGGCACCAGCGGGGCCCTCAGGTGAGGGCGAGGGCTATGTAACTGGCACTCAGAGCAGGAGGCGCAGTACCGCCAGACGTCCTCATATACCCCTGGCCAGAAGAACCAGCTCAGGATTTATGCCTGGGTCTTCTCCATCCCCAGACGTCCTCTGAATAGGTGAGTATA